CCATAAGTAAATATAAGGGAAAAAAAAAAAAAAAAGAGCATTGTATGTTGTAATAAAAAAGATGGAGAGAGAAAAATGTATGTGCGAATCACATGAGAGGATTACCAAAATTTAAAAAATTATTCTGCAATTATATAGTATGATGAGAACGTGTTCCAATTAGTTCAAGCCAGCAAATCCTTCTTGAGTGGGCCGCCCATTTATTGGCCCAAGAAATATAAACCGTTGAATCCATGATCTCTCATTAGTCATTTGTATGTAAACGGAAAAAAATAAAATAAATTGGGAGAACAAAATGGCTAACTGGAAAAAGTATCTCATATAACTTGGAAAGATTACAAGGGTTCTTGTTAAACGAGTAAAGATTTTATATGTTAATTGCGGCTCATATGTCTAGTAAAAAACACATTCTCCCTAGTATGAAAGAAGCCGAAACTTAAATTCTACAAAACATTCCTATGCAGTTGGGATGATCTTAGCCAATTAGGCCGAAATTTAACAAACTATTGGCGATACGATTTTGCTTACATCGGGTATGCTTAATTACAACACTAAGTAGTTTTCTAATCTCGTAGAAAGGTATTGTTGTTTACTAACGGAAGTCCTCGTTCGTCAAAAACTCAAAAGCCTGATGGACAGACCTAAAAAGCTAAAACCTAAATCTCAGGCTGAGGCTGAAGAAAGTTCCCCAGAATTCTGCCTCCAAAACACTGCAATGACCAAGGTTGGTCGCAAAACCAATGATGCAATCTCCGCTACGGTTTATGAAGACACCACCACTTAAAATAAAGAGAACATTCTCCCAACCTTGGTCGTTGCACTGTTTTGGAGGCAGAATTCTGGGGAGCTTTCTTCCGCCTCAGCCTGAGATTTAAGTTTTAGGTCTGTCCATCAGGCTCTTCAGTTTTTGACAAACGGGGGCTCCCGTTAGTTAACAACAATACCTATCTACGGGATTAGGAAACTACTTAACCTCGAACGAGAGTGTTGTAAAAAGCATACCCGATGTATAAACCGTAAACTACTTACCTAAATGGGAGTGTTGTAATTAAGCATACCCGACGTAAGCAAAATCGCATTGCCAATGGTTTGCAAAATTTCGGCCTATCATGCCTAATTGGCTAAGATCATCCCAACTGCATAGGAATGTTTTGTAGAATTTAAGTTTCGGCTTCTTTCATACTAGGGAGAATGTGTTTTTTTACTAGACATATAAGCCGCAATTAACATATAAAATCTTTACATTTAACAAGAAACCTTGTAATCTTTTCCCAAAAAAAAAAAAAAAACAAGAACCCTTGTAATCTTTCGAAGTTATATAAGATACTTTTTCCAGTAAGCCATTTTGCTAATAATGGTTTCGTTTCTCGAGTACAAAGTCTACATAAGAACATGATAAATGGAAGGCTACGCTTGTTTAATGCCTCCGACTCTTTTAATTTCATTTAATGTCCTTCATTACACCAGTGTATCCGTAAAGTTCTAATGATTTTCATCAAATATATTCAGAAATGACATTCCACCATACACTACAAGCCCTGAATCAAATATACAAACTTCCGTAGGTGTCGAAATTCTTCCGGTTCAATAGGTCAGAAAGAGGAACGACATCAAAAATACATAAGGTAGCGGGTGCTTCAGCCAAATTCGATTTTTCATGTTCAGTAAGTAGATATATTCTATCAACACCTCCCTCCCTCCAAAGTACATGTTAGCTTCATATAGGATATCTATGTCCTTAATATAAATTTAGGGACTTTTGTAATTAAGTCTATGGCTTCCTTCCTATACTAGATGTTTGTCCCAGACGAATGCCCGAGTGGCGATTTGTGCTTTAAATTAGTTAAATAAAGAAAACAAATTTTTCGGAAAAAGAATAATTATTCTTTTATACAATATAATAATATCGAATAGGAACAAAGTAAAAGGTCGTTGCCCAGAAACTATTTTAACACAATCATATATATTTTAGTGTCTTAATCCGAACCGTTGCAGGAGTCCAGATTAAAAAAATTATTATGTATTTGAAAAAACTAAAACAAACGAATGAAGAGCATAGCTCAAACAATTTTCAACATTCACTTCGGGATTAATATTAAATTTTAGTGTCTCGGAAAAACACCTCATCATGCAAAAAAAATGTAGTGTCTCAGCCCAGGGATTTCCCGACCGCCTAAAACTTTATCATGTTCAAGTGAATTTCAAATAATTTTGCACCTTTTGATTAATATTAATAAGATATATACATTAATTACTGCATAACAAAGTCCAAAGGAGATCAAAGACAGAGTAATTGGAGTGGCCAAATCAATTACTAACAAAGTACCAGGAAGTGAAAAGTTTTTGAGTGGGATAAAAATCAAAGTCTTTAACACAGTAAGCATTACTCATAATAAATTTTATATTCTTACGAATCAAAAGCTAGTTAAAATTTTCTTCTTCTTCCTGCATATGAACAATCCAGCATTTCATTAATCTTCATTTTCAAACCAAATATAAGAGCCTGTAGCTATGATTTTTTCTTCCGATGCTCCCTCTGCAATCATAACTTCTTTCCAGATTCTTAATTATTGATTTTTTTCATTATGATGATATATGGCTATGAATGGGTTAAGTTTGATTTTTCATTAATGATTACATGAATTGCTTTGGGTCATATGTGGATGATTTCATTGCATTTGTTTTCCAGTTGATTAAGATGACTATGACTAATTTATAGGGATTTGAATCAATGCGCGTTATTGTTGCTAAAAGGGAGGGATACTTACCTTCGCAATCAGATTAATTATTTGACATTTGAGTTATCTAAATAAATTATTTAAGGGGATTATTTGACATTTGATTTTATCAACTCAATGTTATTGTTTTAACTTTTAAGGGATTAGTATATAACTATAATTAAGGGATTAGTATGTAGTTATAATTAAGAGATTTATTTATTTTTTTATTTCATCCTTTTTTCTAAATAGTTTAAGTGCCACATGTCAAAAATAATTTTATACTGAAAATGACCTTCGGCGAGAAAATTTTTATTGTGATACTGACACATCACCAGCTTGTATGTTGCTTTAATTAAGCAAGTACTATAGATGGGAAAAAAAAACTAAAAATACATAAAGAACTCCAATTTAAGACTTTCATTCACTACTACCTCTTGAAAGGGATGTGTGATTTTATACATATCTCTTGGAAAAGAGTACTTGGGTCTTGCATCTGTATGGCAAGATCAATTCATACATGGATTTGATTCACGCTCATGAATCTCTACCGCCAGGAAAAAGAAAAAAAGAATAGTGTTTGTCTAACAAAATATGTCGACTAAAGTTAGTTACATATAAATTTTCCACGAGATGCTTTTTTTCCAGCTCTCTCAAAATAGAATTTATTCAAACATATATGCCGGTTTCTAACTACCGTATGGTCCGATTTATTCAAACCTCAACAAAGAGGGGCGTTAGGATGTTACTTTCTTTATGTTATCCCAAGCTTTATCTATATATGAACGTTTGAGGCGTGTTACCTTCAACTAATGTTTTAAAATAAAAAATAAGTATTTCTTCCGTCTTAAAATGATTTGTACAGTTTGAACCTTTATTCCTAATTTAAATTATACTTAAAATCAAATTTACATTGGATAATAATTTTGAGATTGAGTGAGTTCGCATGATATCACATATTCTTAGATGGTGTCGTTTTATTTTTTCAGAATGTCAAACCATACAGAAGATTTATCAATTTATAGAGTTCTCCAGAAAACAGGAAAAGATAATGAAATAGTAGATAGAATAGGGACAGAATCGTGTCCTAACTATCAATAAGATTGGGCTGGCTAGCGGTAGCTGGGATTAACGAATTAATTAGTAGCACTACATCTTCAACGAGGAGTTAATTAAAAACTTGTTTACAAATCTCAAAGGATCTAAAAAGTACAAGTACCAACAGCAACAAAGGGGTAGCTGATCAATGATTTAATTAATTTTCCGTTTGTGAAATCAAGGCTTTTATTTAAAAAAAAAATAAAAAATAAAAACTTAGTTCAATACCATTGTTACAATTTCTATACAGGTTAAAAAAAAAATTTAAAAAAAAAAGAGTAAAGAATCCATCAACGTAGATACTCACACAAATACTGTGGAAAAAGCCATATAGAACACAGATGATTCTCTTTAATTAACCACAGTTTCTATGTAATTTTATCATAGTCCATGATTTGCCGAAAAGGGTACCAATTTGATGATGACACAATGAGATCTTACATCTCCTACACTTTGTGTGTTACCTTTGTTTGTACACCAAAAAGGGTGACACGAAAAGATTAGTTACTAGAATTGAGCTTGTGGTCTCTTTTCCAAATACCTTTTTGTACTTTGGTATATACATATGGAGGTGTCGATGGAAAAATCTAATACTCCGTCCCATAATTATTGTCCAATTTTACTAAATGAAAGATTTTATTTTTGGTCAATCTTAACTATATTTTACCTTAAACAACCGGATATACCCCTACATAAGTAATTGTTTAATCACTAAGATTTTATGGATAATGTTTTTTACTAAGGACAAATGTGTAACTTGATCCATAAAAAGTCAAATTGGACAATAATTTTGGGACAAAATTTTTTAGGCAAAGTGAACAATAATTATGGGACGGAGGGAGTATATAGTAAATACGTACTTTTTTAGTGTAACCATCCCATATAAATTAATTTTAGTATTTTTTTTTTTCTTTAGCTCTATGTATTGATCAGTTGATCTCTCTCCAGTAAAATTAACTTTCTTCCTGCAATTGTATTTAAATATACAAACTCACATGGTACAGTCGTTGTATTGAATATTTATGATGATATTCCCTTTGGTTGAAATAGAATTGATAAGGGACAAAAAGGATAGATTTATTTTAACCCTATATTTTATTTATGTATTAATGAAATGGATCACGCTAGAAATATAAGTACACACCCTGGAACCAAAAATGGTCAACTCTCCCTACTTCGTTAGTTCTTTTTATTCCCCCTATGTGGCTCTCTCCATCAAAGCTACATTGGAATTTTGCTCCAATCTTTCATCAAATTCATTCGTTTTAATCCAAACTTCATTTCTCCTAAACAGAAAGAAATCATGAACCCGAATCCACCTGAATCCCACCATGCAAATTCCATCAAGTCCACCAAAACACCGCAACTTGACCTTAATTCCAGGGCAAGTTTCCTCGGCCCGATTCGCCGCCGGGGACTACTTGGGGCATTCAGGCGGAGGAATAAGCTGCCGACGGTTAAGCTGGGAGGCGGAAGCCGGCGTCGAAGAGGGTTCTTTTTGAAGCGGGTCATTGAGATGAGATCCTTGAAGCTGAAACTCAGTGGGATGATGAAGAAGATGAAGAGCTTTTGCCGGAGTTTAGGTAAGGATCTTTTTGAAGTACAAGGTACGATGGATGCATTCCAAGAGGCGGTGATTCTCGAGACGGCGTTCGCCATTCCGATCATGAGTCTTACCTTCATCAATACCCTGCCGGAGTCAACCCGCCGGCCGACGGTCTAAGTTGTCACTCACACATGTATGAAATTTTCATTATTATTAATCATGTAAAAGTACAACAATTGGACTGAAATATTAATAAAATAAAATGATGAACCAATTAATTAGGCCAGCGGATTACATTTTAATTTATTATCTTTGTTTTGATTTAGCTCCATTTCAAGACATATCATTTTTTCCATGTCCAAAGTCATTTAGTTTTTCTTCCGTCCTGAAAAAATAGTCCATATTAAATTTAGAATTTTATACTTTTTTAGTATAAATGTGAAAACTCAACGTAAACCTTTTTTTTTAATCAGCGTACATTTTTATCATGTTCCCACTCCACGTGGATTTTTAAGCTTACAAATTAGAAAGTAGCCTATATTTAATAATTATGCCTTTTGTTTAAATTTGTCTGATTATATCAAATCCGTAAATTAGTGGAGACCCTCTTATGGTGCGCATCTTAAATAATAAAGCTTTACATACATTTTTTAATATACTTAGTTGGGATGTTATTATGAAGTTGCTGGAAATCATCCATGATTTGTTGCAGCATTTTGGGGGTAACTACTTAATTAGGTGCGAGCCATTTTGTTCTATTATTGATGATAAACTTTTTCTTCTTCTTCTTTTCCTTCTTTTTTTTTTTTAGATGGATAGATAAAGTTAACGATGACTGAATTTTTGTATTCCGTAATACACTTGGTGGAATCAAGGTTTTAACTATTTTTACCCATCGGTTTCGATCTTTCAGAATCATTGTTTTGACTAATCCATAATTAAAATTTCATTTTTTATAATCAGCTTATCTAAACGCAATTTTTTACTTTTATTTGCCAAGGAAAATCTTACAGTATCTGAAATTATTCCCTTTCGCTCCATGTTATTTTCTCCGTCTCATAATTATTGTCCAATTTAGATTTTTATTTTTAGTTCAATTTGTATTAAAAGTGAAATTTCAAACTGGACTATAGGAGGAGGGAGTACATAAATTTGATCATTTCAGGACTTATTTCGAACGTGTTCACTTTTTCCCCATATTTCATAATTGTAGAGGGTTATGCATACGCCTGACACGGTATATTAAGTCAGATTTTATATTATGTGGTGTCAAGATGAGTTCACTACTTTCACCATTAATCCACTATGCATGCATGCATTGTATGGGCCTATAAAGGAACTCATTATTACTAGTAGCATTTGTCTTTCGATAAGATGGCGGCTTCTCTTCATTTTTGACTTCAACATGCACGAATTCAGTGCGGCACAAAATTATATTCTCTCAATTATCCAGTTTAGATATTTTATTTTTTACATTATAATTTTTATTAAATATAAAATTTCAAATTAGATAATATCTTCGGAAGGAAAAATAAATTGGTCCAATCCAACAAGGCAACAACACACAAAAACTCCCACGTTGACTGGTCAATTCTTTGGGAGTCCCCAAACCCAACTCATAACATAGCTTGTTTTTTGTTGCATCTTCAATCCTAGCATGCTAACACCAGTAAAAAGATTGGGCTTTAATGTTTGGATAGTTCTTCGTACGTATAATGATGCTTTTTCTGTCTAATACCAGACAAAACTTCTCAATTACTCCTGAGGTTGTGCTAGCTACTTAGGTATTTATTGATCATTGAAAACATTTTTTTCTGTTTCAATATCTAAATCAGAATTGTTAAAAGGATGGATTCATAGTGATTGCGCTTGTTGAAAAACGTTGCAAAGAAGCAATTAGGAAAAATTGGCAGATCTACCCAAAATTTTACATGTTTCGTTAATCCTACTCTATTCTTTTTCGATTAGCCAATATTACCCTAAACTATCTAACCGTTAGCCGATTTTGTCCAATTTGCTATTTTCCGTCTAAATTAACGGAATTTTATTTGTTTTAATTATAAAAACACCCTAATAGTTTTAAAAATTTATAAAAATAACTCCTAAAATTTACAAAAATTATAAAATAGTATATTTTCATTTTTTATTTAAAATTTTCTGTTTTTTATTTCTTTTTACTATTTTTCATAACTATAAAAATATACTATATAATCTTTTAAAAAAAATATTTATTTTTAAACTTTAATGTACAAATTTTTAATTACATATTTGTATGTCATGTTTGATTTACATAAGCATATTAATTTTTTAATAATATAGTTTTACAATAATGATCCTATTTTTTAATCTATTTTTTTCAATCTAAAGAATAAGATTATTTAACTAATACTAATTTTTCACAAAAAAAAGTAAACAATTCGCATAGATTAAAAAAGAATATATTGGTATACGTTAATGTATTATAATTTAATTCAACTGACTTTAGATTATTTTTAAATTTAAAAAGAAATCAAGACTAAAATATAAATCTTTTTTAAAAGGCCAAGTACAGACAGAAAGTAAAAAAAAAAAAAAAAAGCATATTTCGTTTTTACGTTGGCCCAACACAAGAATATAGTGTCTTGGCATTTACAAAAATGGTACAAAATATTTTATAAAAAAATATGTATATTTATTAGTGCGAGGGTTTCACATTTTGTGATAATATTTTGAGAATTAATATATCTAACTTTAGCAGGAAGTCTTTTTTAAAAAAAAAAAAAAAAATCTACTCCAGTACTGGACTCCACCTTTTCTTACATTAAAAAAAAAATTAGATTTCTCCAGTGAGAATCGAACCTTGAACACAGTTTTAATCATCTCATATCTTAAATCACCTAACCATCCAATGCAACCCTCTTACTTTTAGTGGACCCCGGTTAAACGTGGGTAAAATTACTCTCCCGGTTAGAAATACTTTGGTGACAATTAATCTTATATCTACTCTCATAAAACTTAGCACCCTAAACACTAGACAGTACCCTGTATTTTAATTTAATAATTTTTTTAATTGGATAATACAATCTATAGTCTGTTTAGTTAATTTGTAATAAATTAAAATGTACTAATATATAGTTTTAATCTATGCTAAATGTTTTTATTTTTTGTAAAAAATTAGTTTTAGTCAAAAAAAAATCTTATTCTTTAAATTGAAAAAGACGGATTAAAAGAATAATATCATTATTGTCTAGCCATATTATTAAAAAAAATTAATATGTTTATGTAAATCAATCATGAGTTACAAAATGTATATCTATAAATTTGTACTGTAGTGTTTAAAAATAAATTATTTATTTAAAAGATCATATAGTATATTTTTATGGTTATGAAAAATAGTAAAAAGAAATAAAAAACAGAAAATTTTAAATAAAAACTGAAAAGAGACTATTTTGTAATTTTTGTAAATTTTTAGGGTTCTTTTTATAAATTTTTAAAACTATAAGGGTATTTTTATAATTAAAATAAATAGAATTCCGTTAATTTAGACAAAAATAGCAAATTGGACAAAATCGGCTAACGGTTGGATAGTTTAGGTAATATTGGCTAACCGAAACGAATAGGGTAGAATTGACGACGCATGTAAAGTTTTGAGTAGATCCGTCAATTTTTTCTTGAGTTTAGGGATTAATTTTAAAGAATTAATTTTATCCTCGATTGTTTCAGTTTTTTTCTTTGCTTTACATAAAAGGTTTGTCTTTTTTGCTTAATTCTAGAGGAGAAACTTAACTATGCTTCCTGCGATGCCACGTATCTTTCTCACTGTGTCCTTCCTTACAACTGTTTTAAATAGGTAAAAAAAATTGTTTCTGAAAAAATAAATTTAATAAAGGTAAAGCAATCAGAACATACAGATCAAAATGACAAAAAACGCTACCAAGATTTCAATTGATAGTAAATTGTGGATCCTTATAAAATAGTGTATTCGCTCTTATAAAATAGTGTATGCATGCGAATGAGAAGTTGATTCAGTGATAACACCACTCTTGCTTTAAAAAAAAAAAAATCATAAATTCAATCCCTAACTCGACTAAAAAGTGAAAGTTGGCTCTAGGGACTTGTTATAGCTAACTATCTAATAAACTCTTGATTTCGCACCAAAGCTTGTCACTTAAGCATACCTAGGGTGATTAATCTCTCACTGTAGTTTGAAGACTATTGCAGTGGGCGTGAATTTACCCACCTCTGGCGAGGTTTCTGGCGTTACAAAAAAAATAGTGTATGCATTGAACTGCAAACTTTACCTCAACCAAAATGCATTGAAGTAACAATGTAAAAACGACAATGGAAGGAAAGCAGCCTCAGTATACCTTCATAGATAAAAAAGCAGGGCAGGAACAAAGGTCAGACATTAAGACAAGTAAAAGTTCTCATTAATAGTACACAACTAATGAAGGTTTCTTCCCTTGGGACAAAACTACTGGACAATTGGACATCCGACTGCTGCCAAAAATGAATTCGGCCAATTTCAGGGCGAACCTAGAAAAGAATTCATGCGAGAGACACAGAAACAAGACCCTCAATATGATTAAACAACACTGAGTATAACAATGAACAATCAGTAACTCTACCATATATAGTACCTCTCTCTATGATCCTGAATTGAAACAAAAATATACTGTACATATCCTGCAACATGAAAAGGGGGTTCGTCCAACCCTTAACCCGAATCCCTGCCATCACTCTTAGACTTCTGGATTCCAAGTTCAGCAGAAGAAAGATCTTATCCAGAGCTACTCCAGAACTGCTACCTCCTGATCAACTCTCCAGTAGTTTGCGTCGTTAAATTCCTTTACCCCAGCCCCGTCATCATCCTGATTGTCCTTTTCTGGAACTTTCGGGTGCAAGTTTCTCTTCAAAGGGCCTGCTTCTCCAACAATGCCCTCCTTAAGAGCCTGTTCCATTGCCTTCTCTGTTCCTTCCAATTCTACCCCTACAAATTCAACGTCCTCTTCAAACAAAGACGGCACTGGAGCCGTGTTTTGACTCGAATCGGAACCAGAGGAACTGACACTGGATTCAGCAGATGGGGAGGTACCATTACCGACTGCGTCTCCACTCGAAGTTGAACTATTGGGCGCCTCCACCACATCCACTGCTTGACTTACATTGGCATCAAAACTGCTTTCATCAACGAATGGATTCACACTCGATCCACTAACTTGAAAATCTGATGCCTCGCCCCATGCTACCCATTCTGGTATTGGCCTGTCTCCAAAGAGATCGTCATTGTCTGATGACTCAAAACGGAAGAAACCCATATCACCAGAAGCATCTGCCTTCTCAGTTTGATTTACACCATTTATAGAATTTTCTCCAGTTAACCCATCTTGGATATTAGCTTTAGAGTTGGATGTGCCATTCGCAGAAGTTTTTCCATCCATCAATTCCTCATCCTCACCAACCACGACTTCATCATCACTACTACTATTACCGCCATTTGAGACTCCATTCAAATTGATATCCTCCATCACTTCAGTGGCAGAGGAGCTTACTGGAGCCTCACCAGTTCTATCATCTTGAAATGCAAACCAGTTTGAATTCGTGAACAAACTGCTGGAGGGAGAAAAGAAATATAAACATAAGGACTATATATAAACCTGGGCAAATAATTACCAATAGCAAACCTCAGCCGGCATACATCCAGGACGTAGAGGTGAAAGCCAACAATCATAAAACAAGACCATGGATGAGATGAAAGGATGAAAGGAAGCAGATCTAAAACATTCCCCACATAAGCTAATCCACTCTCACTCTCACATGAAGCAACTCTCAGATATTTTGGACAAGAGGAAAAGGAACACACCTTCCCTGGTCATCACCCAATCTCAGCGATGATATAACTACCTCAGCAGATTCATCATCAAAGTAAACATCCTGCATTAGCATAAAGGCATACCATAATCAGTTTTAAAAAAGAAAGAAAGAAAGAAAGGAAGAAAGAAAACAAAGAGATAGTCAATGAAGAAGCAAAACAGTCACACATTCAAACATCTGGAAGTATTTCAAGCAATTAAACTTCAGTTTGTAAAATTTCTCCAATCATTATTTGGAGAACTGATGAGTTCTGTAAATAAGCCAAACTGATTACCTCATCATCCCGGTCAAGATTTCCCTGCCCCTGCACAGAATTAGTTAACAGAAATCAACTTTTTTACCTTTCCTCATAAAAGTAAAAAAAATGTTTTATTTTTCTTTTTCTGTTCTAGTAATCATTTTGTAAACCAACTACCTCTTCAGCATCATCATTATCATAGATGGTATATCTGAAAGCTTGGCTAAGATTATTGGCTAATTGTGAAACATCGTAGTCTCTGTCATGAACATCCTCCTCGTCACTATCCCTAGTCCTATCTTGTAATGCAGTAGGGCGGCTGCAAAAGTTAAGATAGCATAAGAACAATACACAGAGGTTCTTCCTTGAAAAAACCATATTACATGTGTGCGGAGAAACTTATATAAACTAAAAAGCAAGCATTCAAGTAAAGAGTGAACAGTAGCATACCCACAAGCCCATCGATAAACATTCTCAACTATATTCCTCTCTTGCAAGACAGCAGACTGCCACTCGCTCCATTCACCATTTTCCTGAAGCAATCAGAAGGAGGTTGATATTTAAAGGAAAATTATACAATATCACAGCTGCTTAAATCAACAGATTGCATCCAACGCGAGACATAAACTAAGAACTAGAAATTAAAGATGAGTCACGTGCAATCCCAAATTCCAATAATCAATGCTTCAAGATGCAACTGCCTTGTCCAGTTGGTCAAAATCAATAATGATGTACATAATATAAAATACCAAAATACGCACGGCCTTTAAAAAAGATTGGATATCTAATGTCAAAAGAATTTTAAAATATCAGTGTCAAGAAAGCTGGGAGAAAGTAACAGCAATACTGAGCAAAAAATAGTCAGCAGATGTTAATAGGTTATTCTGCAAGCATCGCAAATGGTTTCCAGTTAAAAAACACTTTGAATTTCATAAAAGGTTTGTGCATGGTCACGTGAAAGTAAAAGCTAATGCTTTCAAGAAAATACTGAGATTGCACATCTATGTTGTTTAACTTAACAATAGACGATTAGGTAGAATTTATGACAAGATATCAACAATAGACTATCATGAGTCAGCCATAAAGGCCATATAGAAGAGAAGTCTTAATGACAGCACCTGAAGAAATGTTTGAATTGACGTGTCATTGCTTGCCAATTGTACAAGTTTGTTAGATATCCGCGTTAAGTGTCCAATAAATCCTGCCCGAGGTGCTTGCCTACCACTAGCAGGAACAGTTGGCTGGACCAAGAAAAGCACAAACTATAAGTTCAACTTGATAGAATTAACGAGAAGATATGGAAGATAATGGCACCAGTGAACACAAGAAAAATTTAGTTCATGCATTTAACAGACAACCACCAAATTCATCTAGAAAGTATCACTTTATTTACATTATACTTACCAGGCTAAGATCACCGGAAACAATTGGGATCTTATCTGCTTGAAGAATTCTTCCAATTAAAGAACAATCTTGGAAAAGATGATCAATAATAGTGTTGTTTTTACTGTCCAAGCATGAATATATGATACTCTCCACGTGATGATGCAAAGCATTGTTGTAAGGATACCTGCATGATTTTATATATATAATGAGAGAAATACACCAAAAAAAAAACAGAAAAATATTAATTTTAGAGAGAATCAGAGTACACACTCAAAAAAGAGATCAAGGATTCGCTTAATAGTTCCAGAGTTCACCAACTCCTTCTCAGCAACTTCATTTCCAGTTTTAAGCAAAACAGCAATGAATTCAACAATCTGTAATCACAAAAAAAGAAGATTAGACTACAAAAGGAGAAAAAAACAAAAAAGAAAAAGAAGAAGAAGAAGAAGAAAAGAGCATAGAGCACATTCACAACAGAAATCAACTTGGTTAGTAACTCGGTAGTCAGTGTTGGTAATCTAGGTCATCTACTGCAACTTGTCTTTTGTTTTTACACAACTGTATGAAGGCCAGCTAGACAGTGCAGGAACTTCACAGAGCCAAAAACAGAATACAAAGTAACATCTAAAAGAGAAGCATTCCCATTAATGTTGCACGGAAGAGAAGCCAAACTAAACAAGCAATTAGTACAAGACCTTTAAACGATGCTTTCCAAGAGGTGGCTTTAATTCACCGTAAGTTGTTGGCAAGATCTTCTCATCAGACGATACAGTCAACAACGAGAGCAGGTCCACTGCAACATAAGACAAGTAAAATGAAGAGATATTGATCAGTCTGGCATGTAAAACTTGATCCGCAATATCCGATTGCACTCATTAACTCAAATACAAAAAATATTAATAAAGCACCAAAGTCTAATGTTTAACCAATAGTCAATGGAGTTGATTTTCATGGAAAATAAAATCTAAAAGCTTCAACAGGAACTTAATTAAGAAATAGCTTCTAACAGGTGTGGTCCCCAATAAGCAAAGAATGCAGGAAACCACATAAATTATAACCAAAATGTAGAATAAGAAATCCACTGTTTCAACAGACTGATCAAAATTTTAGGCATTCGAATGAAATCACTCAGGGAATAGATGGCTTTAGAAGCTAACAAAACTATCTTCCTGAAAGCTATTTCATAAGAAATGCTCAGGTCCGTACATGCAGCAGCTAACATATGACACGACTTACCCAGTCTAGGAAGCATAGCACCAACTGTATCAGGATTCACAGGCATTGGTGATTCATACACATGTTGGCTCCGAAAAGAGTACATCAATGGTGAAGGTATTGATCTTTTTGGATCCAACAATGATATACATACAGATAATGAGTTAACAAGAGCTGATTTTGAATGAGAATCATCCAGAGCGTGATTGAAAATCCTCCCAACATATCTGCATGTCAAGAAAGGACCAGATTCAAACAAACTTAGTGAGATGGATTATGATACCATCAAATCACCTCAATTTAACTCGAGAGAAGTATTGCATACTCTGGGCTAGATAGTTTTGTAGCTAAGGGTGATGGTGCATTTCTAGTTATAGCACAAAGGGTTTCTGCTGCATTTGCATGTACTTCTGGCGAACTCTGGATAAAATAAAGAAGCAATGAATAAGTTTCCCCATAGAAAAACGAGCTCATATCGAAGTATCTTAAATCCTATGCACAGCGTTCCATGTGTATTAAAAAACAGAAACCCCGCATGAAACCATACGACAACCTAAACTACAACTATAAGGCTAGACCTCCGTGAAGATACCGATCAGATGAATCTTGTATACATGGAACCTAAATGCATAAGGGGAAAGCGGCCCCAGTTGCTTCCTAAAGGAGACAAGAGCTACAGCACCAACTAAATAACATGCAACAAGCTGGAAATACTTTGAGATGTAATAAGAACCCCGTAGCAAGTACTGATCCGATTGATCAATACTCTTCCAGCAAATACATCATTCAGTGTTAACCATGACATACATCAGTGAATGCTCCATCCAACAAGCTTAATGTGATAATTGAAAAAGTAATTAATGCATAAGCATCCTTTCTTCGCTTACAGAGGGGCTCAATTTATCCACGATCATCTCTAGTAAATTACTTTCTGCCAGCCATTGCATCACATCCACTGAGCTAGGATAGATGTGATCATCAGCACCAACCAGACGCACTAAAACCTGTTACAAGGAGCATACCATGAATGGTACAATTCCGACATAGAATTTATCAGAAATTATTCAAAAATTTTCTTCAAATTCTAACAGAGGCTCGATCACATTAGGAACACCAATACTAACCTCCATGATAGATGTAATGCCAATTAAATCAACCAGCTGACGGAACACATCTTGATGAGACTACAAAAAAAGTAACAAAGGGTGATTATCACAAAAAGTCCATTGCTAACCGAAAACTCCATGGCTTCGGTAAAAAAAATATATCAATTACTCAGCATTAGGAGAATTTATTAATCATCACTGACCCACTCAACTGAGGTTTCTAATTTAATTAAACGAAGTATCACCAATATAAATTCCCTCCAACCCAAAACAAAAGGGTTGATTCACCATCAGAAACATTAGAAACCAGACTGAAATAGGGAAAAGAAGAAGAAGCAATTCGGGACAAATGCAAATTACATAGTCCAAGACCACATAACAAAGTTACCTGAACATAATTCATAAGTGGCACGGTCTTCCGCAGCATAAGGCATATTACAACCTGCATCACAATAGAAGCTTTAAGAAAACCAATACAGCAATGCAATGAGGACCACATTTATGGCATTTAGGGAAGGACAAGATACCTTGCTAAAATACCCAGCAAGCAGGGCACTATGGGGACGGTTTGGTTGGAGGAAAGAAAAAGCAAATCCATCAACTGAGAGCAAAAAATCAATAGTAAGCATCAAGAATGTTCCATTCATTTCTAGAAAGCATCTGTAGTTAATAATAGAACCACCATACCTCCTCTTCTTCCACCAGAGTCTTCAGAATGACATCAATTTCACAAGTAAAAATCTCACAGGAAATGAATGGGAACCTAAATCAACAATAAAAATGGAGTAACTAACTGAAACTTCTTTCAGATTGGTTTTGCCGGGGGGGGGGGACTGTAGCTGTATTGAACTATCTTACGACGGTGTGACTTACTTAAACATCCGCTTATTGTCAGCATCTTCTGGTGGCTCTTCAATAACATACCGCAGCAGCTGCTCAACTTGGCTTCTATCTCTCAAACTGAAACAAGGTAATTCACCCTTACTTCAATATATTAAAAGGGTTTTGTAAAATTTCAAAAACACAGAGAGGCTTTCAGGCAGGGTGGGGATTAAGACCAAGTTGCGGCAATTGAGAATTACAAGTTTATAAGTCGGCTGTTTAGAGCTTTGCACTCTTGGATTATCTCTTCTTCATCCAAAAGCTCTTCCAACGAGAAATTTTCCTTGTCCAACACCGATTCAACCTAGGCTCCATAAGAAAATGTCCAAGACATGAGAATATTTCGTAAAGGCAACAAAAATTTGTAAAATAACAAGGAATGGATAAATAATCAACATAATTCAAGGAAAATCATTATAACTGTACAAGTGAAAATGTTGAGAATTAATCAAGTTAAATTACTAAACCAACAGAAAACAAGTATCACATAATAAATTCAAATGCATGCAGTATGCAGAATGAAACAATTCGAGGAATTCAACAGTACACATGTGTGCCTGAAAACGGCACGAGTTAACATAGGGAGAAACAATTGCAATTCAATATAGCCCGTAAAGAGAAACTCATGAAACGGATAAGTGGCTAACTGTTCTTCCTATCAGCAACAAGCTTCTTCATATAAACACTATGAAAGTCCAAGTTCTAACTCTAGTAAATCACAAACAGCAACGTACGAGGAAACAAAATACTGGATAAAGCTACATAAAGCAGGAAAGTCTAAGTTGCAATAAACTAAACCATAATCTGATTTCCATCATCCGGTAAAGAAACATGGAATCAGTGGAGCAGATTTTGGTATTCAGCTAACCCCAAGTCAAGGATGGTACCAAATTTTCATCAATACTACTTCATGTCAAAACTAAATTAGAATATCCCAGAATCTTAATATTTTTCCATTTTCCTCCCAAGTGCAAACCATTTGCAGTATGATTATTTAAGAAACTGACACTTAGAACACAAACAACTGAAATGGCATTTCATCAATAAAAAACAGAGCTAACTCAGCAGATTCATAATGCAACAAGCATTTAAACTAATCATCTGAACTTAAAGCCCTCAACACGACATGATTACAATGCCCAAATTCAATCTCATCATTTTAGCGAATAAATGTGCCGGATAACCCACGCATCAACAAAATCTTTATCCCCCAATTGCCACGACCATAAATTGACAACTTCAACATCTAATTAAACTAAAACTTAAAGATTATCTCGATGCAAACACTCTAAAACCTTACAATCAACAAGAAACTCGACATTTCAAACAAGCACGTCATAATCGAGAATAACAAAATGGATCCAGCAACTCACGGGGGAAGAAGCAGAGAGTGCTGTGAGCTTCCAAAACATGTTCAAATTGCTATGCCCCGCGTGACGAGCAGACCTACGTATACGCTGTGGTAGACGAAAAGGCGCCGGAAAGTGAAGAGAATGATTGAAAGAGGCTTGAGCAAACACAACTACGCAGAGAACAGATCTGTAAAAACCCTAGATGGATAGAGGAGCTCGAGATTCGAGAGGTGAAGAAAAACAAAAAAAAAAAAAGAGGCGTAAATAAAACCCTAATTTAAATCCCTTTTTCCCCTTTTAATTTTTTTCCTTTATTTTGAAGATGGATCGAAATGAAAAGCGGGGCAGCCGTAAAGATCGAAGGTGTCTATGACAGAGAGAGAAAGAGAGAGAGAGAGGAGAAATGGGGAGAGAGATGATATAATTTGTTTGGGTATAAAAATGGGGGAGAAAATCATAAACGAAAAAGAAGTCTATGATGCAATATCATAATAGGTCTCTTTTGTTGCAATATCATAGCTTGGACTAGTGAAGAGATTGGTTGAAAATACAAAATCCAAAAATAACAAAATAAAAAAAAATCACAAAAATGAATAGTTTTAGTTACGAAATAAAATTAATTTTGACTTACAAACTATTACAGTGAGCGTAAATTTACCAATCTTTGATTGGATTTTTTGGCGTTTTTTATAAAAAAAAAGATAAAACTAATTTTGTTTATACTACGTACTAATCTGAAATAATGGATTTCTCTTCCTTCTTTTGTTTCTTTTTTTTTCCCTTCTACGGGAATCTAAATAATGGGGAGTATTATAATTGGGTAATGTATGAATGATGAAGGTATGTATGTGTATAAGGTAAACATAACATGTGATAATGGATGGTGATGATGGATTTGTGGCTTGAGATTGTAAAAGGGGAGAGTAGTAGTAATAGTACATTGCATTTGTCATCATCAACTGATTAATGAAGAGTTTAAAATGGTACTACCAGTACCACAATTTTTACTTGCTTACCCAATTAATGAATTTATAAGTGTGGTGTAGTTTGCAATACAAGTACCACCATATTTATGAGCACTTTTTCATCATTTAATGATTATTTATTAAAGAAGATTTAATCAAAGAATATTTATACATAACGTTAAATATAATTGTTTCAAAAATAGGAGTAAAAATACCATATTCATTATCAGGTCAATTAAAAGTATATACACACCATTTTTATTATATTTTTTCCATTATCACAATTAATCATAATCATTGGGAATAAAAAAGTGCCTAATGGTTGAAATGTGGGGTTGATAGGGATGGTCAAATATGATGGTACGTACAAGTTGCTGGGGGTGGGATGGTGAAACGAGGATTAGGCTTAGGCTCCATGTCATATATAACGTGATAACCTGATATTTTTCTGATCATTTATGCTCCATTTCAAAAATAGAAAAAAAAAAAAAAACATAAAGGAAAGTACTTGATGACGTGATAAACAATCAGTTTTGTCAAAGTAGGGGAGGAGGAATATACATAGAAGAGTACATCTTTTCAAACTTTGAGGAGATCGCCCCCATCACTCGGAAAGATCATCGTTTGGATCGTTTCTGTCTGCTTACTTAAAACACCCAAATTGGCATATAAGAACTGCTGTTAGCTCCCTTGTGGAGTAACTAATTTGAAAATGTAAATAACTATGATGCAAATGAAAATTAATACTCCCTCTGTCAAAATTATTGTTCAGTTTGAAATTTCACTTTTAGTACAATTTGAACTAAAAATCAAAATTCAAACTAGACAATAATTATAGGACGGAAGGAATAATTTTTACTATTTTATTTTTTCAGTGTGTACGCTATTCTTTTTTATAATATATTAAATAATGTAAATGATTGATAACTTTTTGGTGGCCATTTCTCCTAATGAATTTTTTGGTACTAGAATTTATCTGTAGAGAGATGAAAGATTTCTTAATATTAATAAAATTTTAATAGATCTTATCTATTATAAACATGATTAAAGTTAAATTTTGAAAAGAAAATGGGAGTTAACTAAGTTCTTAAAAAAATATATAAAAATTAGTAATGAAACATTATTCACTAAATATTATTAAATTATAATATAGTAGTCAGTAAATATTGATATATTATTAAAATATTAAAAAATAAAGAAATAATCACAATGTTTGTTGGCTTTGTCCATGGTAAATTTTTTTATAAGTTGTTTTCTAATTGATACAGCAAATTTTTATAATTAAAATAGTTTAGGTAAACATTGTGATTCACGTTTAACTTTGGACCAATTAACTACAACCACATTAAATTTTTTAAGTTTAATTAATGCACGATAAATTATCACAAACTATCAAAATTAGATCATTATTCAATTTCATACGTTGATTCTGTTATACTACAAGGAATTTTCGATTTCCTCCTGCCCATTGCTTTCTTGTTAATTTTTCCCGAACTCCCCCTGCCAGAGTTCAATTTTCGATGGTTAGAATTCATGGAGTCACATCCCCAAATAAGCAAAGAAATCGTTGCTCTTGTTATTAAAAGCTTGAATGCGCATTCCGTCTTAATAAGATAATTATTCTACGGCGAAGAAATAATTATTATTACGGTCTTCGACCAGCGTGCCACGCACGTGTGTAGTAGTAACGGTAACTGGCTCATTGAAAATTGGCGCGACACTATTGCCCTGTCTCAGGAGAGTAAAAGTTATTAATTAACACGAAAGTCGAAACCCTGATTCCGATAATTAAAACAATTAATTAACCGTGTGATTCGAAGATTTAATACTACTACTTACTTCTTTTCTTTTTCTATTTTTAATAAATCCAGACATTTTTGTGTTGTTTCCTGTTTTCCGTTCGTGTGCACTGTACAAACATTGTCAATTTAGATAATTATTTTATACGTTTCGTCTCGAAATAATTGTGATGTTTAATTAAAAGAATAGAAAAGTCAATTTGAAACAGGGAGTTTTTTCTTTTAAAATCTTCTAGCTATACGACAAGTCAAAAGAAAAAATTACGCAACTAAACTTAGACGTTGTTAATACCCACAACAAATCTGTATGAGACGAGTTAATGGTATTGACGAAGAGTGGTTTAGTTAAAAAAATCGAAATTTTGGAAAAAAAAATGTTATTCCAGCATAAATTAGAAAGCTGCTTAAATTTTGAAATTCTGATCAGTGATGTTAATAATAATTAGTTAACGTCTCTTTGGATACTTTGTCAAATGTTTATTACTTAGGAATTTTCTTTGGCAGAACTTTTCTAGATCACTCGGATCTGCCTTAGGGTCGATATTTATGGCTCTTTTAAGGTGCGCTTTCTCCATCCCAAAATAATTGTCTTATTACTAAAAATAAAAATTTAAATAGAACAATCATTTTTAGAGATATGAACAAATATAAAACAATGATCTTGCAAAGAAAAGAAAAAAAAATCTTCATCCCGTAATACAAATTATCATGTCAACCCAGTTGATCAACAATCTAACAGCAAGATTCTACTTTATTATCCTTGGTAAAATTTACTAATGTAAAATATTTTTTTTTATTTTACTGCATGTGTAAATCTACTAATATGTAATTTTCTCTGTCTAAAAAAAGATAGTCCACATTGATTTACTATAATACAAATTCCAAAATTCAATGTATATAATTACTTCCTCTGTCCCAAAAAAATAGTCCACATTGAGTTTTGAATTTTGTACTAAAAACAATACAAATTTGAAAACTCGATGTGGACTATTTTTTTAAGACATATGTAGTATTTTTTTGGGACAAAAAGAGTACTACTATATATGTTCTACTCCCTCTGCCCCAAAATTATTGTTCAGTTTAAGATTTCACTTTAAATATAATTTGAATTAAAAATAAAAATACAAACTGGACAATAATTATGGGACGGAGGGAGTATAACTTTTCTCCTTTAAATCATTAATTAAAGGGATCGTATGTAGCTTGCATTCTTATGTAGCTTAGCCTCTACATTACAGAGAAATAAGTATCAAAGCCACAATAACTTTTGCTGGGGACAGTAGCGGAGGCAAGATTTTAAGTTGGGGATGCGAAATAAAATCAAAAGACAAGTGTACTAAATTTTTTTTAAAAAAAAATATACATTATTTTTTACAAAATATTGAGAACCATTTCATTAATATTTGACATATTTTTGCTACTAGAGTTTATAACGTTACGTGGTTTAGATTTATTTATTTATGAAAAATTTTAAAATAAAATGCTCTAAATTTGATAAGATTTTTATATAAGAAAAAAGAAAACATGATTCTTTCTATTATATAAAAACCACTCCAAGCAAAAAAAAAAAAACAAAAAACAAAAAAACGAAATAAAACAAAAACATATATAATTTTCTGAAATTTCATATCAAGATCTATCATTTTCTATTGTTTACATGGCATAAAAAAACGGACAATTTTTCACATTTTAAAATTAACTTTTTAGCAAATTAAACTTAATCTTGGGCTTTTATTTTTGTTCAAATTTGGCCATATTTGATCTACAAGATAAGAATCATGATGACGGAGAATTTGATTACTGTCCTGTTCCTGTCCAAATGTCCCTGATGGAGACAAGTGTAATACCGACTAGTCTGTTCCTGATATAGTGAACTCATATTAAAATTACCGTCATTTGTGACGGTTTCTCATTATACCGGATAAGTCTTAAGCATTTCTCCAGAAGTCTTTTTACTTTATCAATAAATTATCCAGGTATTAACCTGGTTTGCTTAAAAAAAATTAAAAAAAAAATATTAAAAAATTTATTTGGGCCAAAAAATCTCTTATTATTATATGATTATTTACCTTTCATTCAGAAAATACAAAATCAATACAATTCTTTTGGTAAAACTTTGTTGTTTCCTTTATTTTTATTTAAATTTTACATATACTAAGTATTAAAAAAATCATTTCAAGTTTTTGTATGTAAATTGACTAAAAGATTTGAAATTATTATTATAAAATTTTTAGAGAAGGTGCGAAAATAAACAAATTACATATTTTTTAATAATTATAATGCTATTTTAAAAAATAAAAAACAGAGGAAGCGCGGCTGCACCGGCTGGGCACCCCTTGCCTCCGCCAATGGTTGGGGAAATTTTTTGGAATTAAAATTGTTTAAATTTGTTAAAGTAATTAACATTCTCTTTCAAAGAAAACTAATTACTGTAATTCAAAATGATGTTCTTTCTATGTTTTTTTCTTTCTTTTTTTAAATTCACAGTTGTCCTTTTGCTTTTGGTTTACTACCCTTTTGTTATTACTACTTTACAATATGATAGTACTAGTAGCTTTTATTAATCAATCAACCAAATTAATTAGCTAGCTAACCATTGTCGTTTACCCTTTCCAATCTGCTCTCCCATTTAACAAAAAAAAAAAAAAAAATCAGCTCTCCCATCATCTTTTTTCTAGGCTCTCGTCGTTTTGCGATTATCCCAACATTATTGAACTTTGATGTATGGCACTTCTTCATCTTTTTAGTTCTTTGTTATAATTAGTGCTCCCTCCGTCTCACAAAAATAGTCCAATTTAATAAAAATTTTGTCCCAAAAAAATTGTCCAGTTTCAAAAAGTCAAAATTAAATTTCACAAAAATGACTATAGTATCCTTCGGACAATTCAAGGTCAATTAATCTTCTAGGCTCATTCTTGAAAGGAAATGGCTTTGCGGCCGCCGCAGCTCCTCATAGTAACTCCTTCAAGATCCAATCAATCTGCAACACTCATTCTTCCAAGTAAATGGGACCTCATTCTTCTGAGAATTATTTCTTTTTTCTGCTAGTTAAATATAAACTAGGGCTGGTCATTTTGAATCACAGTTCGGGTCGGACCGATGACCCGAAACAAACCGATCCGAAATTTTAATTTCGGATCGGATCGGTTCGGATAAAAATTTTTTAAAAATAGAACGGTTCGGATCGGTTGAATATCAAAATTGAACCAAATAATTTAAATAAAATAAAAATAAGATAATAATAATTTAAATAACTTTGTTGTCGACAACCGTTGACCGCCGCCAACTATCGCCGACCACCGTTGACGACAACAACTTCCGGCGAAAACATCAATAACCTCGCCGGAAATTTGAATTTTTCCGATGACTGGTGACCGCCTCCGGCGAGATGACGTCATCTTCTCTTTTGATCACATCATCATGAATGAAACGATTCATTTCGGATCGATTCGGTTCAGACCCAAAATTTGATCCGAATCGATTCGAACCGAACCGTTAGTGATCGAAAGAAAATTTTGCTCGTTTCCGAACCGATCTAAAATAACGGTTCGGTTCGGTTCGGTTTGGATCGGTTTTCTTGAAATGAACATCCCTAGCACTATAAAACCAAAAAAAAAGAAGAAAAGAAATAAATAAATTAAAAAAAAATATTACTTCCGACGACAGAGGATCGATCGAAAGACGATGATGACGATTTTAACAGAGATTTTGTTGATTTGAAAAGAGCTTGCCTTCTTACTTCGAGGATTATATGGAAATACTGAGAATCAAGAAGTAGCAGAGCCAATGGGATGGCAAGATTTATCAAAGGGTAATCTTTTTTTTCTTGGAGACGATAGTAAATCTAAGATTCAGAAGGAATTCATCCGGTGATACCTCGAAATTCCCAGAAAGAGTTCATGATGGTCATGTTGGTAAGGAGTCGGAATCACCAGCTAATGAGCCGAAGGAAGAAAACGAAAAAAAAAAGCAGGACTCGATTTGTTAAGAGTAACATATTTTAGCGTTGAGGTTTGAATGACCCGCAAATAAGGGAGGGCAACGGTGAAAATGAAAGTTGAGGGCATAAAATGAGGTGTATCTTGATGAGTTGACTAAAATTAAAAAACTTGTATATTTGGAAACTGGACTATTTTTATGGGACGGAGATAGTAATATAAATGTAAAATGTATGCATACGCATCGACAAATTAGAATCTTACAAAAACAAGGATGGAAAGAAAAATATTCCTCTTTGCAATGATACAAACAAACTGAGGGAGGGGAAAAAGGAAGCTAAGGGCAACTTTTTTAACAATTTTTTTTTTCTTTAAGTGGGATGCAAGTTAAAAAGGAAAAGTAAAGTGATTTATACAATAAAAATGAAAAAGAAGCACGATTAAGGTATAAGTTACTCTATATTTATCATGCATCCACTGTGTAAACGTCATCTTAAGTATCATTTAATTTGGACCATTGATGATATTGTTTTACGTATCAAGACAAGATTAAATATACTACTGTGTGAGATTTTTGTGTCTCCCCCCATACTCCATGGTAAAAGATCATGTGTTTATTGTTGTTTTTATCATCAAATTAAACACCGATTATATAAATGTTCGATCTCATTTGATTTCTCATCATTGTGCTTATAATGATTTTGATTGTGCATGTAACTTTGCTTAATGGATGATTTAACATAAAAGACAAAAATGGTTTATCAACAAATTCTGTTCGGAACCGATGAAAAATTTAGAAGATGGTTTGAATGACCCTTTTGGTTTATTTTAAAGAGACAAAAGTACATGGTGAACGCTTTAACAAAAATGGTAATTAAAAGATGTGAGTATCATTGTAAGGCATCATAAATATACAAACTAAGTAGTGTTTGATTTTTCTTCAATTTACAAAATAAGGAGAGCATCCACTCTACGTTGCACGCTTTTCTAGGAGGTATTCGAAATTATTATTTCGACTAATCCAGAATTTAACTGAGTAAGTTTTTTTTAGACAAAACTCTCTCAACAAATAGTTTTTAGAAATATATTAACAGGTCTTCTTAACAAGTATCAGAAGTATAAAAAAACTACTCAACAGTTCATCAAAATTTTCAAATGTGCATTAACCCTAGGAATGCAAGTACTCCATCCGTCCCATCATTATTGTCCAATTTTACTAAAATGAAAGATTTTATTTTTGGTCAAACTTAACTATATTTTACCTTAAACAACCAGATATACCCTTATATAAGTAATTGTTTAACCACTAAGATTTTATGGATAATGTTTTTTACTAAGGACAAATGTGTACCTTGATCCATAAAAAGTCAAATTGGACAATAATTTTGGGACAAAATTTTTTGGGTAAAATGGACAATAATCATGAGAGGGAGTACAATATTATCGATAGATCTCCAATCAATTATATTTGCTGAAAACAACGACTTTCTAGCTAGGAAAAGTATTCAGGTTGAATTTATTTTTTATTTTTTGGTTTGAGACTTTTTTCATGGTTGATATGAGTACATAGTGAAGCTAACCCTTTTTTTTTTTTTTTTGAGCATCGTGAAGCTAACCCACGCGTGTAGTATTGTACTGGTTGAAATGTATCACGTTTGATGCTAGGTGTTAATTTTTTGCGAGTAAGAACTAAAAAGTAGTTCATTCCCATTCGCATTTATTTAGAAATTATATTTTCTTTTTATCCAAAAATATTTATCTAATTTAGATTTTCATATATAGTTTAATTTAATTTTGTATTGAATTTGAATGAAAATGTAAAATTCAAACTTGATAATCATTTCGGGACAAAAGTGATTTTAATTTTGTAACTACATCTCTCTTTTATTTTTGATGATTGAAGCCCAAAAAATGATAAAATCAACCAAGGAATCATCTCTAGAAGAATTCTCATTGCCCAGACGCTTTAAACTTTAAAAAGCGTTGTTTCATTTGAGAAGAAAGCGTGGCGAAGGCTGTTTCTAAATCTACGACTTTATCTTCAAAAGAAAGGAAGTCGTGACAACTGACAAGTGTGGAGATGACGTCTTTTGCCGGAATGACTTGATAGACTGATGTGTTTTTTTGGCCCAATTGCGAATTTGCTTCTTCGTCTTCTTCCATTAACCAAAATTCTCCCCATCAGAGTTAGCTGTTTTCTTTTTTCCCCAGATCAAAACGCGTCGTCTAGGAACTGAACATCCTTCTTACATCAGTCATTTTCAGACCAGTTCTCCAGAATCTGAGAATTCCATATTCTCAGATCCTCCATTGACAGCTTCTTACGTCACAATTACGTAAACGAATCCATCGATATGACTTTATAGGTAAAGAGTAAACGCGGAGTTTGGTGGGAAGGGGGATAAAGAATGAGTGTGAGTCACGCGACGGTGCATCCCGTGCCAGTGGAAGCGCCGCCGTTGCAGACGGAGGACGCGAACCACCCGCCTTTGGCTGCCGGAGTAAGGATGAAGGATACCCAAGGCATGCCCGGCACAATCGGCGGCCTCTTTTTGCGTTTCGCTCAGTTTATATTCGCGGCGGTTTCTCTCTCCGTCATGGCCACCACCAGTGACTTCCCTTCCGTCACCGCCTTTTGGTAATTTTGACTGAATTTGGCCGATTTCTTTTCTTTTTTTTTTTTTTTGTTTCCCCCTTTTAAGCTTATTATGGACTTTAAATCACATAATATTGACTGCAGTAACTAATTTCTATTAATTGTTTGATCACATGATCTTGGGGATAAAATGACTTTAGTAGCTAAGCTAATGAATATTTTTTGGATCACAAGGACTATAAACCAATCAATTGATGGATGTCCCAAGTCCGATCTGTTGGGCTTAAACTTTATTAATTCACTTGAATGCTGATATGAGTTTTGTTGGTATGAAGTTTGTTTCTCTGACTTACTGCTGAATTTGTGTTCTTACTTGGTTAAATACTTTTGCTTTTCGGAATTGCAACGGAATTCCTTTCATCCTAGAGCTGGAAAACAGCTTGTTATTTATGCTAAACAAGTCCGCTGCTTGGTTCGTTTCGATCCTTAAGCTGGCTGAATTTGATTGTGAATGAATTTTACATGTCGCTATGTATGGGAAAAGAACGGTGGAGCCCAACTTCTAGGTCTTAGATTGATACATATTTGTTTCTTTTTGTATAAGTTACATTCAGAACGGGGATGATGAATATTTGAATCATTGATCAAGTAGTATCTAATGATTGTTCACCCCTTATTGTTTTTGCAGCTATCTTGTTGCGGCTGCTGGATTGCAGAGCATGTGGAGCCTCGTGCTGGCGATTGTTGATATCTATGCTCTCTTAGTTGGACGGAGCTTGCAAAATTACCGAGTTGTGAGTTTATTTGCTGTTGGTGATGGGGTAAGTTACGGTTCATTGGCAAATTTGAAATTTCTCAACATTATGAGATCAGTCTTTGAAATGGTCTCTGACTCTATTGTAGCATGCTAATGTATTGAAATCATTTCCACAGGAAAAAAGAATTGTTTTGATCAAAGCAGTTCTGAGTAATGTTAAGTTTTCTTGATGCTTATGAAGATTACTTGGTAGGCATTTGACACATTGCAATTTATGGTCAATTTGTGATGCTGAACCCCCTTTGCTCTTAGACTTGGAGTTTCCCAGTGCAATCATGTTCCAAACACTGGCACTAAGCTTTTGTAGTTATCGAATAGTTGCACATAATTATGTTCCATATCTTCGTTAAAACCTCATACAAGGATGCTAAAAAAAAATGAGTTTCTTTGGTGTTCGCCATTGTTGTAATTTCCTGCGATTAGCATAAATATAGATACACAAAGAAACAGTATTTGTTCCTGTGAACTGATAGAACTGCAAACTGAAGTTCATTTGACATTACTTTCATCTTGTGTTAGCTTACTAAGAATGGTCTTCCACTACAGGTCACATCAACCCTCACATTTGCCGCAGCCTGTGCATCTGCTGGCATCACTGTTCTTATAGGCAATGATCTTGGTAGTTGCGGTCAAAATCATTGTACAGAGTTTGAAACTTCAACAGCCATGGCTTTCCTGAGTTGGTTTGCTGCTTTACCATCATTTTTGTTGAATTTTTGGTCTCTTGCTTCTAGGTAAAGGTTGTTCACAAGTGTCTTTGTTAGAACGCTAGGGGACATGTACCGTTTTAGCATGCGAGCACTGTTTTCTATGATGATTGCTGTATTTCCACATGTATAAGAAAGATTTCATACTCAATTGTTTGTATATAAACACTGTAAATTTGAAGTTTTGCCCCAGTAACCCGAGATCTCGAGGTTTTGATCTGCTGCTTGTTGGTTTGGTTTCAGTTTTGCAATTTAAGATGTCATTCTTAGAATATAGGAAAAAGGAGTGTGGCCAGATTGGTAGATGAATTGTCAATAGTGTTGCTTTACTACGGATAAATCACTCCCCTGGAAGTGAAGAGTTGAGATTTTGCACGATTATGTGGACAAATCCCTATGTTTAAAGTTTGCCAAGTCTAACCTCAAAACTTAAAGTTTAAACATTTGACTAAATTTTACTCCCCAACGAGCTTTTTGGGGTTGAAGAAGGAGACATTTAGGTCGAAGGAGTAGACAAAATATCTCTGTAGAGCAGGACCAAAAGAGTCATGTCAAAGGAACAAGAACAAAACCAAAACACATGTGGATTAAATTAACTATATGCAAGATATCTCTGGGCTTGAAAAAAATTACAAAACTTTCAGCTAATGTCCTAATCAACCCCTTTTCTTGCTACACCATTTTCAGGGGCTCTGTTGTTCACACAGGCAGAGTTTAATTACTAATTCATCTAACACATCTAAACAAAAGACCAATTAACGAAAGTAAAAGCCAGGCAATGGACAGTATTTTCTTCGGCAGCAAGGACTTTCCAGGCAATGGCTTGCTCGTAGGAGACATGGCGGCCCATTGTAGACATGCAGATTCCACCAGGCAAGCATGCAAATCCCTGAGTAAAGGAATAATGTTTGCCACGTCAAACAGTATAATAAGCTTTACATTGTCATACATAAATTCCGCAGCACCACAAGTATCGCATGCAATTTTTAAGTTAATCAGTGGAGCAACTTGAATACCAGAGATACAACAGAAGCATGAGCAATAACGAGAACAGAGGATGCTGTAATTCGTTAGAGAATAACAAGTTTAAGGGAGCATAAAAAGGAGTTTGTCAACTGAGATGAACTCAGGTAGGCTTCAGAATTAACCCTGAATATCCAAGCAGCCTATGTAGTCTCAAATTCAGTATATAACTAAGCATAAATGTCTGTCAATATTCGGATGCATCATATGATAAGAAATAGAGGTTATTCCCAAAGGACCCAACCACGTGGTGAGAATCTATCAGCTTCAGTCTTTCAAGGTGAATTCAGCATACCTGTTGCATGATCTTTGCAAACTCCGCGAATAGCGCCTTTCGACCAGCTTCGTCAAAAATCTTATCTAATGTAACATCCTGTAAAGCCACCAGAGTTGTCTCTAACATGTCGAGTCCAGCCTGGTTCGCGAATATGAAAACTGGCAGAGACTGCCGCAAAAGAAAAAGTAAATCAAAAGTTTAGATAGGAGATAAATGAAAGGAAAGAGTAAATGCAAGCAATATCTCTGAGCCAGGCAAAGACGCCCATGTAGAACGGTTATACAAGAATTATGCTGCTTCTATATTGTAACCATATTAATCAAAGAACAAATGACAGATGGTGGGGCAAAAATTATGGTTTCATACCTTCAGTGAGCAGCATAATATGGCATCTTGATGATGCCAGAGATTCTTCAATAATGAATCACCACTCAAAGAATCACCCCTCAGCAATTCTTGCCCCATATGATAACTGCAAGTCAAATGAGATAAGCAATATATGAGAAGCTTATCTTATCTTGTCCTCCTCTTTCACTCAAACGCAAATGGCCTAAAACGCGTATGTGCCCATAAAGTTGGATCATAATGAAAATTTAATTCAGTGCTAGAGCAACCAGGGGCAAAATCTAACCTATAACTCTGACAGATCCAGTGAGCTAGTGTAAGAGCTTCAGGAGAGCCTGGAGAAAGCTTTGGTCCAAGAGTGGGGCCAACTCCTGAGGGAGAAATGGCCATAGCAACCCGCTGCACAGATGAAATGACACTACGGAGATATTGCCGTGCCATTGTCGCTACATTCTCCTGCAGATTATTCTCAAAGGGGAACTGGAACGCAATAGTTAACACTGAACGGGGACAAGATGATGTATCAGCTGAAGTAGTGCTTGGAGCGGGGCCAACTTCAAGACTTGAGGTCAGGTCCAAAGTCCTATGAGCATTCAATGACTCTGGTGCATCCCCCTGATCAGTAATGTAGTTAACACATGGTCAGTACTTAGTTTCAATCATCATGTAACATCGTAATGTTGAGACCATAAGTTCCAATGTCAAATATACATCTTTTCATGTGACTATTTTAAGCTACTCCATGGTGCCAATAGGATGAATCAACTTAAATCGAGTTCCAATTTGCAACTATCAACAGAAATTTAAGCGCTACCACTTATTCTTTTTACGGGAGCCGTAGCAAAATTAACAATAAACAAGTCAATATCACTAAGTTCAAAAGAGAAAGTAACAAGTTCCTCAAGGAGAACATTGAACTTAACTGATTTTGATTCCAAAGGAATGATACGAAAACCCGAGGGTACCAATGGGGCATCATCTGGAAACATTTCATCAATTGGGGCAAAAACAAGTTCAGAGCAGGAACCAATGGCATTCTCATCAACTCCGCTGCACATCTGAAGATGATACATCATTAGCTGAATTCTCTCTCAACAGAGAACCTAAAAGTGAAGATAACAAGGCAAGAACCTGTAGAAGATGAATGTCTCTTGACATAAAAGCATCTTCTTGACCCAGTGAGTGCCCTTCAAGTCGGATGACTTCTAGCATCTAAGCAAAAAAAAAGGTGTAAGCGCACAAAATAAAGCCATGTAATGTTCTGTTATGCATGATTGTTGCCTTATTGCAGATAAGCCATCAAATAAGTTATTTTCAGTAGAAAAGTAACTACTTTGGGGCAATACTCTTCAGCAAAAGATCGAATATATTTCTAAAATGATTTGGTCAGGGAGAATGTTTCCACACAAGGCTCATGTTTTATATGATGACATAAAGGAAAAAGCTCACAAAAAAAGTGATAAAAAAATTGCTCATGCCACAGGGTACATTTGAAAGAAACTAGAAGCAATGCGGGCAAACAACACAGGAATTGTGCACATAGAGGAGTGAATAAATGTATGAGAAGGACCAAAGTATTACCTCCTCGTGTTCAATTGTGTGACCCAAAGGCATAATAATTTGGCTTCCAGTAAACCTTGTAGCCCGCATCCCTGGATATGCATAGGATCCAGCTTTCAATGAAGCGGCAGAATATGCATCAACGTTAAAGTCTGCCCACTCTGAACGGTGCTCCCTCAAGAACCGAACAAGCACAGCAGGAGGGACATTCTGGAAGTTTTTCAAATAAGTGAGTTTATCATTTACTCAAGAGCATGTAATCATGCAACGTGCATCACATTGAGCAATAATTATGATATCCACACATGAATTATTCAGCAGAAGCAAAGGGTAGTAATTTGTCCGCATTAGATACAAGCGGAGAAGTGCAATTACAGCCATTTGATATATTCACCGATAAAAAACAATAGATTGGGATGTATTATTGGTGCATGTTTCCAGAAATTTAGTCCGCATCATACATATAAATATCTTAGTTAATCTGTAAATTGAAACCCATCTCTAGGTGACCAGAAAGCACCTAAGGTGTAGAAAAGCTGGCAATAAGCTACTGGGTTTAAAGATTGTTGCGCTAGCATTCTCCACTTCATATTAAATCCATTGTGATCCTCATAAGCAATTCACAGGCCACAAAACTCGGTGATTACTAATCAAGATTACTACCCTCACAATTGCAAAAGATGTATAAATTTCAGGTCTAAGTCATTTCACCTGGAGAAGCATGGAGGCCTTTGCACAGAGAACACCTCCCAGCAGGGAAAGAGAGGGGGTGGAGCTGTTCAGGCTCTTGGTAGAGTTGACTGCAATGATTACATCTTCTGCCCCATCACAGCTTAATAATGACCAACCATCATCGTTGAACCCATTGATTGCATCATTAAACCCTCTGCAGGGAATAAATGTTAAAAAACCAGCAACTGGCCTAAACAACAGAAAGATATAAGAACCAAGGCAATACCTGCTTAGCCTCTGGCTAAATGTTCTCAGTACTGCTGGTTGCCTGCCTAAACCATACACCACCTCTCCACTTGTCTCTTGAGCTATTTGTCTGATGTATCGTAATGCCTTCATTCATTCAAAGATTTCAAGTTATTGGTATCATTCCCCGGGTTTGAAGTAGTCAGGTGAAAAACTTTGTGCAATATCATGAAATCTAACATTATTCAACTAAGCAGCTAATTGTACAGACACTAAGTAAGCCTTCTTTCCAAAAGTTTCTCATATCTACTTATACAATATAATAGTAGAAGCGAGTTTGAACAACAGTGAGAAAGAACAAGCAATTTATCAGTACTCAAAAAGTTGTATAAAAAGGTCAAAGAGTTCAATTTAATCTTTTAACTGAAACACTAGTATAATTCAGCTAAAATGAACAGAAGGAAGGTGGGGTCAAGAGCTGTATTACTTACTGCAATAGTCATTTTCTGTGCTACAACTTTTGATGATTCATAAAGTGGTCTCAGCACCTCTGGAACACTCCATGCCTGGACAGAGGAACATGCTTAATATGTGCTACAAACCTTAGTATTCTAGAGAATATTGATAACCAAAGATCCAACCTCAAGATTCAAATGATCAACAATGTGTATGATTGATCCACCACCATCACATGGCCTTATCAGATAACCAGATGGAAGCACATCAGCCCTTGTAAATTGAGAGGCAGCGGCTGCATTTGGACCAGCGCCAGTACCAGAGAGAGAACGCTCACACACCTTCAATAACCAAAAACAAAATCCATTCATATGCAACCCAGGGTACACTTCTAAATAGTGTATCAAATGTACTACAGAAATTCCACAGTCCAGAATGAGATGTCCAATGTGGTGCTTAAAGTAACAATCTACCATGGACAATACCCAAACAAAAATTGCAATGGAGTTGAACCCTTCAATGCAACCAAAACTAGTCATGTAACTCAATGCAATGTCCTTTGTCTATCTGGCATCCGACATGGATCCCATGACATGATATAAATCCCTAAGTTGCATTCCCACTTCAAGCAATCAGTCGGTAGATATTTACAATGAGAATTTCATTATTTCCACATGATCAGAAATGTGTAGAAAATATACATACCACAAGACTACCATTCTCCAAGGTGGTCGTGTATCTCAGAGTCCAAAAATCCCTTGCAGGAGCTAATGTAGTGGGAGCATACGTCTGCAAGCATTTAAGGTTCATTAATTACTCAATTCTTACAATCTTAATCAAGCAGGTAAAAACTTTTAAGACTACTAACCTGAGTGTACACAAGCTCAATTGTCCCTCCATTTCCAGCAGGAAACATTGTGAAAACTTCAAGGCTCCGACAATCCCGGAACCAAGATGGACGGTCTTTAAGGATCTCTGCGATCTGGCAATATTTAGAAAGATACAAAAAACCATCAACAGTAAACTCATGGCAGACCACATGCTGGTAGACTCCTAACAAATGGTATCACTAAAAAAAGGAAGCAAGATGTCTGGGATATCCAAGTAGATATTCAACTGTTAAAGCATACCTTTGTTGGTTCTAAACTAACAAGACCACAGGCTCGAGCTGCCACTCCACTGCAACTATGGGAAATGGCAAAGATCCCAACCGAATCCGGACCAGGCTAAGAAAGCAGATTCAAAATGGGAACAGCAAAAACTTCAGTTTTAACAAAACCAGATGCATGTATAGTATCATAAATTCATATTAGTAGAAACTTTTACAAAGAAAGGGTTATATATATCGTACCTTCATCCCAGGCATCTGGACCCAATCGACAGCAGTTCCTGTAGCCTTTGAAAGGAACTCTGCCAAGGTCTCCTCTGCAATCGATAGGAGTCTGCAGGAAGCCCAAAGGAACCACAATGACTAACAAGCATTACAAAAGTACACAAATCATAAAAGTGTGGACAGAGAGAGAAGGCTCGTAAGTAACATAAGAATTACCCTGCAGGGTTGTTAGCATCTCGCAGAGAATGCTGTGGGGTGGTTACCACTGATTCACAACTTGCATCAGTAGCAGTTGCACCAGATGTCTGCAGAAATTGAACCAAAGAAAGTTGGTGCATGAGCAAAAATTTCTCACCAAATACATAGACAGTCAAACTGAATCAATACATAGACTGGTAGCACTCAGCAATCAACCAAAAACTAGCCCAGGGACATACAGTTTGTAGCTGTTGCCGCATATAACCATTCTCACACACCAGCTGTGAGACCTGCTTCTGCAAGCGATCATTTTCTTCCATCAACAGTTTGTTCATGGCAGTCAACTTTCGATTTACTGTCTGGAGCCGTGAAGACTCTTTTCGCTGCTTCTCTCGACACCTGTATACAGCAATAACAGTTTTACTTGAATTCTTGTACTGCTCCGTCACGAGAAAAATGGTGAACACATTGATATGTTGAACACATTAAGATCCCAATTTAAAACAATCACAAACCCATGAAAGGTTCAATTCCATTTGCTTAAGTAGCATATACTGTATATCAAATTTCGAGTAAGATAATCTGGCCTTATATCACTAGAGCCTATCCACACAAATGAACCAAATATGCCACAGGCAGGAAATTAAGAAAAGGATCAAAGCTTTTGCAGGAACTGTTGTGTCAGAAAATCTCTTCATTTTACCTTCGATTCTGGAACCATACTTTGATCTGTTTAGGTTCAATATTGGATAGAATTGGACATTCCCGAATCAATTGCTGCCTACGCAACGAGCTGGGCTTAGGACACTCAGCATAAACCCTCTCCAAAGCTTCAACTTGCTCAGCTGTGTATCGGACATATTTTCCAGCATCCATACTACTACTATGCTTGCTAATGCTCCCACTGCTACTCTCCCTATGATGCTGTGCCACCATCGCCATTCTTCAACTTCACAAACTCAACCAAATGCACAAGAGTTTTGTGAAAACACAACAGAACTCTGCAGCTCTAAATGTGGACTCAAACAGAGATAGGAGTAACAGTTTCTGAAGCAATAGCCCTTTTGTGCCTTTGTTTTTTACTCAAAATTGTTCTATAGTGAGATGATATCAGCTACCAAAATCGAAACGGCTGATCTTGATTCCTTATGGACTCCAAATAACACTAAAAAAACTTCACACAATTCAACCCTCACAACTAAGGTAGAGCCAAAAAAAAAAAAGCTCAACTAAAGCTAATGGGCTGATTTTGCAGACACAAGCATGCTGACAAAAACTAATCCCATTCTTCTATCTTCCTTTTCACATTAAACCTGCTCCGACACATCTCTCTATGTAGTTCAGTTTGGCTGTAACCTCTTCTTACAGGAACTCTAATCTTTCGTAAGAAGGCTCCAAGTTCAGGACAACGTTCGCCGAAAGTGAATAGCCCAACAACAAATTCCAGCTGTATTAGTCCAAAAAACTTATCAACAACAAAAAATTAAGGCCTTCTGAACCCCTTAAGGAAATTAATTAGAACTTAAGACCCCACCAAGGTACACAAATGTTGGAGCATTTACAGGCTTGAGCTCAATCAACACAAATCCAGCGAATTTCACTTCAACCCAGGAAACAGAACTCGAATTTTATTTTTTTTTTAACCCAAACCTCAAAAAATGTTAAAAAGGGATGAAACACCAGATGGTGCAAAGTGGACAAATGGAGGAGCTTTATGCCGGGATTGACAGCTGGATATCACAGTAACTGAAGAGCAAATGTCATGTCTTTCCTTCTAGAAGCACCGCAAAATAAAAACAAAAAGGAAAAAACAATGCAAGAACTGCGTCACTCCCACCTCTTCTTCCTCTATTCCGCTTTTTTTCCTCTAAAGGAAAAAAGAGAAAGAAGGAAACCAAATAAAAAAAGAAAAGACTCAATATTCGGGCATTAGAGAAGAAACCCACAATCCAGAATTGAGAGAAGAAGAACCCAGTAAGAGAATCATCAAGAAACCTCAGGAAAAATGAAGAAAAACTAATAAAGCTCCAGTCTTTAGTGAAAGAGAAGCTTAAAATTTCCTTATTTCTTAAGGGGAAGAAAGTGAAAGGTCTAAATTTGAAGGGGGGCTAAAGAAGAGTTGGTGGGTAGGGAAAGAGAAAGAAAAAGACAGAAAGAGAAGAAGGGGAGGAAAAGAAAAAGAAAAAAGTTTTTATTTTTGTTGTGTGGGAAGACTGGAGGAGAAGAAGAGAGGGGGTCCTTTGATTTTGAGCTCGCAAATCGAAAATGGCAGGAGTGTTTTATGCTTCAGCAGCTGCTGTGGTGCTGCTACTACTCTGGATTTTCTTTTATCTTGTCATTTTCTTTTACTGTTTTATGTACACCATATTCTATACCCTACTGTAGACCATATTAAGTGAGAGGATCTGTTCTTGTTCTGTTCTCTTCTGTTTGTTTGAATTTATGATGCAGAAGAGAAAAAGAAAAAAAAAATTGAAATATCAATGGAGGAAAGAATGCATTTACTACTGAGCAGTGTATATTGAAATTTGACTGATTATCTTTCACTGTTTTAATTCTTCTTTTCTTTTCCCCTCTTCTGGTTTTATAATAATGCTTTAGTCAAATCACAGTAACAAAATCTTCTGCCATCCTCTATATCCTCAATTGGCTCTCTGTCTGTCCCTTTGGTCCAGCAAGGCATGCCCCTCTTTGGCCTTTGCTCTCTCTTCTGACTGATGAGCATGGCATTTTTAGGGTTTGTGCTCTGAATCTGAAAATCTGAATCATCCACCTACTAGTACTAAAGTTTATATGCCCTCTGTCATTTGACAAAAAGGGCTCAGCTTTTTTCCCCCCTTTCTTCAATATTCTTGTAAAATTTTGTCATTTGGGATTTGGGTTCTTTGGTTGATTCCATCAAATAATTGCCTTCACAGGGTTCCATTTCAATGGGGGCAAAAATTAAAAGGGAAAAAAGGTTTTTGGTTGGATTTCAATCTAAAACATATAGGAGTAATATACTAACTGAACTCAAGGTTTTACTTTGTTCCAATTGCTTTGATGATGCATCATGTCAAAAATTTGTTTTGTGTCTGAACTGAAAGACTGAAACAACTGTGGTGTGACTTGGGACTGATCCGATGGGCTTTTCTTCTGTTCACCGCTATCATATGCCTTGATATGTCATTTTTTTCGGCCGCAGAAAATAGTACACTTAGGCCGGAATGTTTTGATGTACTTCTGCATGGCGCAGTAAATGCCACTGCTGCACCACCAAAAATATGGCCCGTCTACCACATTCTAACAAATCCGATTTCCTGAGGCTATGTTTGTTCGGTTTTTTGGATGATTTTTTCAAATTATTTTAATAATAACTGTCTCATCTCAGCATACCTTTTTACATTTTTAATATATTTTTTTACATTCTCAATACAAAAAACTCTTAAGAACACACACTAAAAAAGCGAAACAAACGTATCCTAAATCTCGTTTGAATTACAATTCTGTCTTAGTTATTATATATCGAGAATATAATAAAGGGGATGGAAGTGAAAATTAGATAAAGTTGGGTACAGATTCGAATTATTGGGTCAATGTTGCGTTATGTATTTCACATAATAATTAATAAGATTTTTCAGAACAAAAATGTGATAAAAACTCAACTCCTATCAATGGTGTCGTATCATTTCGGGTTATTTCTGAAAATCTTGTTCTCGAGTAAGAAATTAAAGAGCTCGATTATGATTTGAGGAGCATTGTGAACACGATATAGATTAGGGAAACATATTGCTGGTAATTCTTGTGATAATTAAAATGTAGTTAGTTAGGATGGATATTGATTTACGGTAGGCAAGAAGAATTTTGTAATGTAGGTCATTTCTTACATGGATTTATTGTTTTTTTCTTTTCAAATTGACGTGACTAATCACTAATCATTTAGGTAAGGGACCAAAGCTTTATAGTGCAATTGATTTCAATCTTCAAGGAATTTTGCACAAATAGTTTAGGAATGTGATTGGTTGTTATTATGGCTGGTACCATAAATTACTCCAACTTTTTTTTTTTTTTTTTTGTGTTTTTGCTTTTTATCATTGTTGTTTAGTCTGAGTCATGTTCAAGGATGAAGTAATAGTCAACTAATGTGATCAATCTTCTTCAACAATCCTTTTTTCACATCAATTAGCTATGTCTTGGTTGTTATGCATTTGGGAATTGGAATATGATGTAGCACTGCCACCAATAGAAACTGGACTTATATTTTGACATAACTTAAATAAGACTGAATTTACATTTGAAAAAGAGATAGTAATAGTTTACGTACCTTCTATTCATAATGGACATTTATTGGTTGTAATATGATATCCAAAAAATGTACTAACATTTAGGTTTATAAGCTGTAAATAAAGTCAAACAGCTAAATGGTAAAAAATCTAATCATCAATACCCAAATGCGGGTAAAATAACAGTAATAACAATTTTCTTTTTATAGGAAATTCCTTTTTTTTAAAAAAAAAAAATTACTCCTAGTTGGGAGTGAAGAGGGGGGGGACCAGGAGCATTGAAAATGAGTTGCAGTAGTCAGGAAACGGTTTCTTAATTCCAGACCAAAGTTCTTAGGACAAAGTGATTTTGGCGCGCATGATGGCTTTAGTGGACCTTTTGTGTGTGTGTGTGTATATATTCTTTATTTCTTTATCTTTAATTAATTTGACAAAGGAAAATAAATTAAGTATATATATATACATATATATTCTTTATTTCTTTATCTTTAATTAATTTGACAAAGGAAAATAAATTGAGAGACTGTTCTTACCCACTAGTATATGAAGGGGTTGGAAATTTTCATCAATTACTATATATGCTAAAATAGAGAGACAAAAAAGTGTACGAGAAGGAATATTGATACGATTAGTTGAGGCTTGCTTGTCTTTTTTAGATGTAAGGAATTTGAATTTACGTTAGTCCATAGTCCATTGTCATTCCGATTTGAGAGTTCTTTTGACACCGTACTAAGGTTTTGGAGGAAAGTAAAATCTCAAATTATGACTCTCTTTGTTCTAAAATAAATAATTTACATTAAGTCAGTACAAATATAAGAACTTAATGTAGACTATTTTTTTATATAGAAGTAATATATTATTATATAGGTGACAGATTATGTAATTAAGGAAACTGACTTAGGGTTTCCGGAATAGTCGACTAGGGTTTTCCGCCATTTCTTCTGCTATACCTGTGTCACGGACAGTTTTTCTTCACCATGAATTCGGGTGGTTTGATGCGAAACGGGCTATTTTCGTAGACGGACATGGGACGGAACGGTCTAGAGCCTTGTGGAATTCTCCGGTCAAATCTTGAAGACTCTGGAATTTTCTAGAGAGGCCCGGAACTCTCTAGAAACGAGTGGAACCGTATGGAAGCTACCCGAGTTTGCTAGAACCGTGTGGAAGATTCTAGAGACTTGTAGATATTTTGAACTTAGAATATTTTATTGTAGGAATTCTCTAGAATCCCATTATTTTATTATGTACATAGAATTCTCTAGAATTCTTTAGGACTTGGGGGTTTGCCTATAAATACCCCATGCCCCTTCATTTGTAACCATCCAAGCTTTGAGTAGAGTTCTCAAGCATTCCTTAAGCTCTCTTGTGCCTTCATCATTCTTTCACTTTCAACCTTTCTTAAGTTTTTCTTTGCCTCCGTTCTTTAAGGTCTTGCCTAGCTTTGCACGCTTTGGGGTCTTAAGGCCGAGCTAGCACTTGATCGTTAGTTGTTTTGTGCTAGTGCCGCACGGCCGTTACTTTGAAAAAGTAAGCCGTGACAGATTGGTATCGAGCCTCGGCTCGATACTTGTGTGCTACATCATCTACGCCCGTTTGTCGGTTTTCTTTCGTGCATAAGCTATGTCCAACCCTTCGGAGGTCGTTCAAGGGTCGGAGCTTGAGGGGATCACGTTTCCGCGAGGTGGGAGGACCACCCGCAAAGAAGCCGCGAGGAGAAGTCGGTCGTTAGGGAGCCGATGGTGGAATTTGAGAAACGGCTTGCCAAGCTAGAGCTTCTTGTGCGGACCACCAAGACCGTTGGGACGAGCACCCCGAGGTGGTAGCGGGGGTCGTCGAAGCTCGCATGGAGCGATTCGCAGGGAATTGCAAGAGGTCATGCAGCAAATGAAGGACGACATGCTAGGGACGCTCAACGAAATGGTGGAACGTTGCAACAAGTCGAAGGAGGAAAGCCTTGCTCGTGTTGCCGCCTCCAAGACGACGTCAACCGGCTTATGGGGAGGCTGGAGACTTCTCGGGCAGAATCGCGGCGTCTTAAGGCACGGCTTGACGCCGTGGCCGTGCAAGGGACAACCGGAGCCGTGGGGACGGTTCCAAGGCTTGAGGCGCCAAGCCGGACGAATATAAGGGCAGCCGTCGCTTGAGGGACGTAGAGAACTTTCTCTGAGCATGGAACGGTACTTTGGGGCTATGAATATCATGGACGACTCGGTAAGACTCTTCCAAGCCTCTCTTTATCTTAAAGATAGTGCTTTATCATGGTGGAAACGTATGATGAAACCCGTGGGGATGGAGACCGGTCTTCACCACGTGGGATGGTTTTAAGGAAGAGTTTAGAAAGTATTTCCTACCGGTGGATGCGGAAGACGAAGCCGGGCCAAGCTTTGTCGTCTGCACCATAGGGAAGGCCAAATTCGGGAATACGTTAAGGAATTTTCGGACTTGATGCTTGAAATTCGGATCTCTCGCCCAAGGAGGCGTTCTTTACTTTCATGGACGGTCTCAACCGTTGGGCCAAACTTGAGCTACAACGGAGAGAAGTCCAGGACATCGATCGGGCGTTAAAGGTGGCCGAGTCGCTTGTTGAGTTCCAAAGAAGGATAGCTCCAGGACAAGGGCAAGAAGCCGTTCCAAGGCAAAGGTGGGGAGACAAAGGGAAGTCTTCCACCCCGCGAGCCGGCAGCCGACTTTACAAAGCCGTCTTCAAGCAAGGAGACCAAGGGGACAAGCCAAAGAAGTTTCAAGGGTGCTTCTTGTGCGGGGAGCGCACATGGCACGTGATTGCCGTCTCGTTCGAAGTTGGCGGCATTGGCACAAGGTTTGTGCCAAGAAGAGGAGAAACGGGTCGCTTGCATAAAACGGCTAGATGCCGTGCATGCCAAGGCCGAGACACGTCAAGGCCGTCTTTACATGGAGGCATCGTTCGCAAACGGGTCTAGATGGGGCATGCTAGACACGGGGCCGACACGAGTTATCTCACGGAAGAGGTAGCCCGTTCGCTTGGCGTCAGTGGACACCTAGCAAAGGCCGTTTCAAGGCGTGAACGGTGAATGGACGGGTCTTGTAGGCGAAGCCGTGGATGTGCCTCTTAAAATCGGCAATCGGTCGAGTACGGCTAATTTCTCCATTGCACCTATGGATGATTATGGTCTTGTGTTTGGCATGGAGTTTTAGACCGGGTAAAGCCGATCATCGTGCCTAGCAACGACACGATGGTGATCCTCCAAGGCGAAGCCTTGTGTGGTAAAGTTTAGACGGGAAAATGAGATTAGCCCTTCCCACCTGAACAAGGGGCTAAAGCGGGTGAACACACCTTTGCCGCCATGGTGTTTGAGGAGGAACCATGCACAGAGGAGCCGACAAAGGAGGAACGAATCCCGCCTCCCATAGAGCAAGTCCTTGTTGAGTTCAAGGACGTGATGCCCGACGATTTGCCCAAAGGTCTTCCACCAAGGAGGGAGGTTGATCATGCCATCGAGTTGGTGGACGGGCGAAACCGATAGCCAAGGTGCCTTATCGTATGTCCCTAGCGAGCTAGAGGAGCTCAAGGTGCAAATCAAGGAGCTACTTGAATCGGGTCATGCAAGGCCGTCTAAAAGTCCGTGGGGTTCGCGGCCTTGTTCCAACGCAAGAAAGATGGGACGCTACGTTTGTGCATCGACTATCGGGCGTTAAACAAGCTAACCGTGAAGAACAAGTACCCTATCCCACTTATAGCAGACTTGTTCGACCGGCCGCAACGGCACGGATCTTTTCCAAGCTAGACTTGCGGAAGGGATACTACCAAGTACGCATAGTACCGGTGATGAACCGAAACGGCCATGGTGACGAGGTATGGCTCTTATGAGTTTCTTGTTATGCCGTTCGGTTTAACTAATGCCCCACCACGTTTTGCACTTTGATGCAACGTGTGCTAGCGGA